GAATTCCTCTTTTACTTCAGTATAGTATAGAAAAGATTGACAAGTCTGAATATATAATAAGAAGAAATAAACAAAAATCTTCTATAAACAAAACCAAAGGACAACTGAAAAACTGATGGAAAATGTTTGCATAATATATCACAAAATAAGGGTAAGCAATACTGAATTAGTTTTCTAGGGCTGTGGTTAGTGTTATCAAATATTGGTAGCTTAAATATACACTGATTTGTTATTTCATGGTGAATGCCAAAACCAAAAATCAAGGTTTGCAATCCCTCTGAAAACTTTTGGGAAGAATCTATTCCAATTTCTGGTAGTTGCAGTAATCCTCATTTCTCTGCAGACTACTTTTATGTCTCTTTCTCCTCTACATGTCTGCCCTTGTGCATGTGTTTCCTACCTTTATGTATTCTATCCTATAAAGATTCTTGTAGTTGGATTTAGGGCCCTCTAGGTAATTCCAAATGATTTCCTAATCTCAAAGTCTTTAATTCCATTTTATCTGCAAAGATCATCCTTCCAATTAAAGTTACATGCACAGGTTTTGGGGATTAGGACATGAACATCTTTTATGGAGCCCACTGCATTCCGTTTGTGTGTGTGTGTGTGTGTGTGTGTGTGTGTAAAAACTCAAATATCCATTGAAAAATAGGAAATAAAAGTGAACATAAAATTTCCAACAGTGATATTAAATTGGAATTCAAACATAAAACATTATCTCTCACTTACAATTAGAGAAAACACAAATTAAAACAGCAATGAGAAACCACTTCTCAGCTCTTAGGATTGCCCAAACTGAAGGCTAAGACAATATGTCCTGATGTTGGGACTGCTGGGAAACAGGAATCCTCATATATTATAGATAGAAATTAAAAATGGCATAAGACTTTGGGAAAATAATTTGTCAACTGATAACGAGAAAAACTAAATATGCATATATATTTTCATGCATACAAGGTCTAGGAATTTAGCATGAATTAAGTGTCCAACAATATTAAAACATATACACACATTCTTGGTATTTGCAAGCTATTGGAAACAATCATTCATAGAAGAATGTTTGAATAAGTCATGATTCCACATGGGATTACAATGCATATAAAATATAACTGTATTTACTTGTTTGTGCAAATGAATACAGAGAGTGCAAACTAATGACCTTAATTAGCTCATTATAGAAATAAAAACAAAATAGAAGGAAAATTAGGACAGAGACATTGCACAAATTATATATTCACTTATGATTCTGAATAAAAGCCATGATAATTCCCCATGCATATAAAAATAATTTAAAATAACCATAATGTGGTATGAGCTGAAAATTAAATATCATCAGTAACACTTGGATCAAACTGTGTTAAAAATGAAGAACATAATAACACTGGAAGGAAGGTTGAAGGAAGAGTAACCTGATTAAATTTGGGGAACGGTATTCTGACTATATTCTATAAAACAAAAGATAAAATCAATCGTACATAAATATTTTATTCATTAGTTAACTTGTCTTCATAATTATGTATGATATACAGTGATACATTAAGTTCTAAAACTATATTATTTATTTATTAGAATTGAGCAAATAGGATACAAGAGAGTCAAGTTCTCATGCTGAAAAGGGGAGTTACAAATATGGAAATGATAAAGGCTGGAATGAATCCTGTGGTGTTTGAAATGGAATCAGAGCTATCAGTTCAAATTCATGATTCATGGTATACATTCAAAAAAAAAGAGAAATAGAGATGCCTCTTAGTGTGTAGAGCACATTTTATTACACAATTCTGTCCACCAAGAGGGTCACATAGCAATGACACTCAGTTTTAATGAATGAAATAAACTCTTAGATCTTGAATTCCAAATATCATTCTTAAAAGGTGGGAGGGTTGGGGGAAGTCTAAGTATTCTAGGAGAAATAGTGAGCTGTATTGATGGGTCAAGATAAATCTGGAGGGTCTGATGTACTGAAAGACAGCAGGAGCTTAGAAAATAATAGAATGTGTGCAAGGACCTAGGAACTAAATTGTAGGAGGCTCCAGAGGCTAAATCTCTAATAATGTATAACCACATAAATAGATTAATGGTGTATAAATTACAAAATAAAACAAGTGTTCATGAGTTTTTAATGATGCAAATATGTAAATGGAACAGAAAGTACAGCTCTTCCTTGTGGTAGAAGTACAATTAATACAATGATGGCAAACAACAGAGTAATAAATGTCACATATAAGAAACACTGGTGAACACTCAAGCAGTGGCCAAGAGTACACTGAGAAACATTTGCACCACAGTATCTCCTCTAAATATATTTAAAAATCAAAGAGGTAAAAATAAGTATTTCCAGTAGAGAAATCCAAAAGAAGCCATAAACACATAATCAAATTAACGTCACAAGGAGTAAAAAATATATTTACACATGGATTTCCTGCAGTAACACACTGAAAGGGTAGAACATCACTGTGGTATTCTTGTTAAAATGCCTAATCTCATCCTCATAATAAAAAACATCAGAAAAACTCAAATTCAGAGCCACTCAACTTGCCAGTACTCTTTGAAATTATTATAGTCATTAAAAAAAAACAGAAAAATTAAAGTTCATGTACAGATACTACATTACTCAGTGTAGAATTTATTTTCAAATAAAATGATTTAAGCAATCTAGTGGAAAAGAAAATTAAATGAAAAGAGATTGGCATAATAAACCAGACATTATAAAACAATTAAATTTAAGATAATTGTTTAACACAGGAAATTGAAAAAGTCAAAATTTGTTTCTGTGAAAAAATAAAATTAGAAAAAAATTCAAGATTAATTCACAAATGATGGAACAGATTACTAATAACAAATAACAAAGAAAAAACTCATAATAAGATTAAATATGTCCCCAAAATAATGTAACTATTCAATACTAGTAAATTTGAAAATTTTAGATTAAATTCCTTATAAAGTTTAACTTGTTGCAATTGAGAAAAGAAAAATATTAAGCTCACATATTTTATATATATTTAAAATAATGAACTGTTAAAAATCTTTCCCCCAAATCCCTCTAAGCCAACATGACTCTGACAAATTCAGTTCAATTTTCAATACAAAAAAAACAAGAGCAAACAAACAAAGAAACCCAGGACAAAATCAGAATTGGCACAAAACCAGAATTCTTTTAAATATTTAAGGAAGAAATAGCATCCATCTTAGATAAACTCAGAGATAAAAAAGGAGGAAACACATAACTAGTATATGCTTGTACAATTTGATTCCAAAAGGAAAAATACATTGTAGAAAATAATATCATATTCCTCATGAACATACAGAATTTCAACGCAAAATATTACCAAATTGAACCTATTGATAAATTTTAAAAGTTACTATATCAGAATCAAACGTCATTTACAAAAGGAATGAAAATTTTAAAATTGAAAAATTATTTCATGAACAGTAAATAGAAATAAAAAGCAAAATATGACCAATATGATTACTTCAATCCTTGCACAGAAAGTATTTGAAACATGAGGTTTGGGGGTGTCTAACAAAATAAGAACAGAAGGTAATCACCAGAGAATGGTTTAAAAAAGAAGCCCAGAGCAAACGTCATACTGACTAGTAAAATATGAATTGCTTTCTCTGATATAAGAAATAAAAATATTCAACCTTGTACTTTAATCTTACTCAGAACAGTATGGTATGAAAATGTATGATTTTTGAAATAAAGAAGCAAAACATTCACTACTTGCAAAAATAGTCACTATTTTCTACCTTATAAAAAGTTCAGTGGATGAGCTGGGCAATGTAGCACAGGCCTATAATCTCAGCAACCCTGGAGGCCAAAGCCTGAAGCAGGAGGTTCACAAGTTCAAGGCTAGCCTGGGAAATTTAGCAAGAGCCTGTCTCAAAATAAAATTTTAAAAAGAGCTGGGTTGTAAATCAGAAGAAGAACACTTCTAGGTTCAATTCCCAATTGAAAAAACAAAATCCACAGGAACCCAATAATAAGTAATTAAAATTAATAAATTTAGCAAGGCTTGAGATCAGAGTAAATATGAAAATAGTCTACTCTGTTGGTGCATACTAAAAACTAAAAATTAGAATATACCTTTTTTAAAGAACCCGTTCATTCTTGCATCAACCTCCAATTATATACAATTAAATCTAACAAAAATGCTAACACTATTAATGAGAAAATAATTTAGAAAGTTAAATCTATAAATAGAAAAAAAATAGAATGTTCAGGAATTTGGCATGGCAAAAGTTCAATATGGTAACGATTCCAATTTTTATTTTGTTGACTACAAATTTAATCCAATTCAAGAAAATCTTTGTTCATTTATGTTTGTCTGTCTTAAACCATTATAGAGGAAAACTTACAAGTTAATTATGTTATAAAATTTTTACAAAATCACAATGAAATGAGAGTAATAACTAGTTAGTCTCTTGAATAACTAGTTGACTACTTCCACTTAAGGTGTCCTCAAGAAAAGGTTAATCATGGAATCTGGGTGTGGCATGGAATCTGGGTGTGGTGGCACATTTTTGTAATTCCAGGAACTCAACAGGCCCTGTGTCAACATAAAACTTAAAAAGGTTTGGGGTAATAGCTCAGTGGCAAAGCACTCTGGGGTTCAATTGTCAGTTCTAACAAAACAAGAACAAACAAACAAAGAAACCCACAACAAAACCAGAATTGGCATAAAACCAGAATTCTGAATTATTTTCAAACATTGACTCTTTTATGAAATACTGCTCAGTATTTCAGAAAGTTCTATCATAACTGTGAAGTAGCACTTTTAAGATAGTAGTTATAAAATAATTATGTTGTAAATGTTTGTCTTTTGTCTTACCCAAGACTGTAAACTTCTGAACAGTGACTATTTCAACCAATAACCTTCAAACTCAACATGGCCTCTGACATACAGGAGATACTCAAAAGAATATGAGATAAATGTTTTAAATAGCATCAATGAAGATATTTTTCATACTCATCAAAATCTCTGAAGAAAACTCAAACTTACCTCCTATGTCTGGACGAAGTTTATTGTCATAGCCTTGAAGCAATGAGTTGAGAATGTGTGTGATATCTCCTTCATGAATTTTTGGTGCCAAAACCCATGTTTTGTTCACTGTTAAATCTTCATCATCTTCGTCATCTGCTTTATCAACACTAAATAGTTCAAAGAAAAATTGGGGTGATAGAAATTTTAATCAAAAAGTTTATATAAAGAATAGTTTTAAGATTATTTTAATTGCATAAAGAAGTAGTAATAGGAGAAAGAACATTACAGAAATGTTGTTTCCAGTAAGACTAGTGCCTTTATCTTAAGAGGTATCTGATATAATAATATTTGAAAATTAAGAATTTGGTGCCAAAAATATAAGGTGCAATATTGATTTCAATGTTAATGTGAATCTTTACTCTCACAACTGCTATTAAAATTCACAAAAACTACAGGCTAAAAATATGAATCATGTCCCCTAGATTTGTGTAGTACCCTTAATCTACCAAACCCTAAAACAAAAAGTAAAAATTAGTGGAAAGGTCATAATAGCCTAGTAGAATATATAAAAATGCATGTATATAAAAGTATAAGGAGGCCGGGCGTGGTGGCCTGTAATCCCAACAACTCAAGAGGCTGAGGCAGGAGGATCATGAGTTCAAAGCCAGCCTCAGAAAAAGTAAGGTGCTAAGCAACTCAGTGAGATCCTGTCTCCAAATAAAATATAAAATAGGTCTGGGATGTGGTTTACTGGTTGAATGTCTCTGAGTTCAATCCCCAGTACACACACACACACACACACACACACAGACACACAGACATATATACACACACACACACACACATTAAGGAAAGATGCAGGAAGAAACATTTGAAGGAAAAAAAAATTGAAGCATACACTCTCATGTTCCTGCTCTTTCAGTTTAAATGGGGGGAAAAAAAAAAACAGAATATCTTATTCCAAGAATTTTGTCAAAGATTACATGATCATCAGATCACAAGTGAATGACTCATCCTCTGCACATATTCTTTTAAAGGACAGGAAGAATATATTTATCAAATTATAAAATTAGAAGAAAGGACCAAGAGATCCAATTACCCCCTGCCTTTATTTTGTATATGAGAAAACTGAAAATGAAAGGACAAATCTAAAACTGAGAAAAAAAACAAAACAAAACTGATTCCCCAGCTAATAGTCCCTGCTGCACCTGTGTACTTATCAAGTGTAAAGATTCAGCTTAATTCCAACTTGTGGTACAAATACGCAGTAATGTAGATATTAATTTAGGAGTCATCAAATGTAGCAATTTTTTTTATTACACGTGAGAAACCTCACCCTTATTTAAGAAATATTATCCTAGACTTAGAATACACCCTCTTTTAGTAAATCTCTAGTGCCCCAGTGAAAAGGGCCCAAAATACTAAATGTGAACATTGGGAGAATCAAATAAATCTGTATTCCACTAGGTTGTTTACATATATTTCATGGATATATTCAAGTATATTCCAGTAGTAAATATCCAACCCTTTTCTTAATATTTTTAGTTGGTCTTCTACACTATCCATTCAGATCTCTTCTGATTTAGACCTACACATCTTAGGAAATGCAGCCCTATCTCCTTTGATCCTTACTAGGTATTGCTATAGTTTGGATCTTAAACGTCCCCTAAAGGTCTATGTGTTAAGGTTTGGTCCTCAGCCTGTGGCACTAGCGGAGGTGGTGGAAAATTTAAAAGGTATGGCATGGTGGGAGAATATTTAGGATATTGGAAACATGCCTTTGAAGGGAATGGTGGGACTCCATTGCCTTCTTCCTCTCTCTTTGCTTCCAGGATGCCACGGGGCAAGTAGCTTGCTGCCATGCCACTAGTCCAAAAGTAATGAGGTCAGCTGACCCTGGGCTGAAACTTCCCACAATGTGAGCCCAGTCAACCTTTTCTATCTGTAAGCTGATTATCTCAGATATTTGTTAAGTTTGAAAAGCTGTCTAACCCAGGTATTAACAAAGTAATGAAAACATAATTTTAAAGAATTTACTCTCATTTCATCTTTGCAATAATTCTATAATTATTATCAACAGATAAGGGTATGTCTTATTTTTCTCCATGTCAGTCCTCTCACTCCTGTCCGGGAATTATACTTCTCACTTCTCACACCACTAACTTCTAACTCGGTCATATTACCTATAATGCCCTTTTCTGCAGGATTGTACATCCCTGACCTGTTGAATTCAGCTGTGTACTGGGATAAACTTTGGCTTCCAGAAAATAAGTGACACATGTCACTACCAAGCAGAAGGTTTAGTGTTATTTTATTTGATTGTGTCTCTTTTGTCTTTCTGCCAAAAGACCAATAGTGCTGAAAGTTTACTCAATTATTTTACTCTTAGAGTGAGGGTGACATGAACAGGACCACAGGTGAATCACAGTGGACATATAGCCTGAGTGAGAAATAAATATTGATGGTTATAAGCCTCTGAGGCTTGAGAGTTGTTTGTTACCACAGCTTAACAGCTTCTCTTATGGTCCCTTGTATTTTCATTTAGTGATTGAGAAAACCAAACAACAGATGTTAACTAACACATACCTCTATTCAGCTACACCAAAATTTCATCAGTTCCCCCCACCAATGCCACATGAATAGAACAGATAACCTTGGTAAAATCTTTCCTAAGATGTAATTTCAGTAAAGAGGATGTACATATTATCCAAACACAGGAAAGCTCCCTGGTACCGCCTGAGGCTAACTATCAAGGGTATGTGCCTTTCATATGATTACATTTCACAGCTTTACAGATGAGGAAACAATCTATGAGAAATTATTCAACTTGAACAAGGAAAAGTAACATTGCTAATACAGCAGGTCTCATATTCTGACACCTGCCATACACAACGACAATGGAATACTATTTATTTTGTTGTTGTTGTTGTTCTACTTAGTTGTGTATGACAGCAGAATGCATTTCAATTCATCGTACACAAATGGAGGGCAACATTTTAATTCTCTGGTTGTACACAGTGTAGAGACTCAACATTCACGCAATCATGCATGTACTAGGGTAATGGTGTGCATCTCATCCCACTATCTTTTCTATCCCCCAAACTCGTCCCCACCCTCCCCTTTGCCCAGTCCAAAGTTCCTCCATTTTTCCCATGCCTCTTCCATCCACAATTTCCTGTAAGCTATCAAAAGTAACTTCAGAATACTTAATTACATTATTATTATTATTATTATTATTATTATTTGTGTTATTATTGTGGTTAAATAGTACTTTTAATTTTTTTCTGAAGTTATAGATGGATAGATGCCTTTATTTTATTTGTTTATTTTTATGTGATGCTGAAGACTGAACCCAGTGCCTCACACATGCTAGGCAAATGCTCTGCCACCGAACTACAACCCCAGCCCAGTACTTTTAAATTTTAAAACAGTTGTTATAGCACACCTGATACCTTGATCTCTGTTAGAGGGCTGGGAAGTTTTTATAACTTTTAGATATTTTGTATAACTATTCATTTGGATAATTATTCATTTCATAAATATGATTTTCAACTTATTTTAAATAAATTAGTATCATTTCTACTTAAATGGAAATACTTTTAGAATCCTGATAATGCAAATTTAAATATTGTTTCCTATATTGATTGATGTCTTCACTGTTATGAGCAATTGTGTGTCTATAATACACCATTTAAGAACTGTGTTCATTTTTTTTCACACATTATATTTAATCCACAATAATTTCATTAAATAAATATTTATGTACTTATTTTTTAATACCTTTATTTCATTTGTTTATTTTTATCTGATGCCCGGGATGGAACCTAGTGCCTCACACATGCCAGGCAAGCGCTCTACCACTGATCCACAACCCCGGCCCTTATACTTATTTTACAGATAAAAAAATAACAATCTTCAGGGCACACAGTTATTTAATGATACAATCAAGATTTAAAACAAGATTGCTTTAATTTGAAGACATGTTTCTCTTCCCTTTGAAGTCTCACTGCATCATCTCATGTTATCTTTATTGAAAAATACAGGGGGTTGGGTTTTGTATTTCCTAATTCAAAAGAACACAGAAATTGTTATGGTATGTATTTGGGAATTACTTGGATTGTGTGTGGCTGGAATGCGTAGTCTCTCAGCCCTTGTGTTCTGGGAAGCTAAATAATCCTCTCAATGAATCACACTTCTGATGAAGATGACTTTCTAATGTGCTGAGTCTCTGACCCAGTGTTTTAATTCACTTATGGAGGAATTACCATGTATTAAAAATGCATCAAGTGCTGGGAATACAAAGGCAAATAACACTATATTCTTAACTTAGATGATCATATTTTCTAATAAAGGAAAATATTACTCAAACAATAGAGAAAACATTACACACAATAATGCTTATAACAGTTTAATGTGATAGCACAATTTTAAAACAATAAGAGTATGGTTTCAACAAATGACATACTCATATAATAGAATGTATACATCTATTCAATTGATGGTAAAAGTCTCTAAAAACATGAAATTATGTTCATAATTCAATATTGCATGAAAATAACAAAATAATCTCTTTCCTTCATCTATGTAAAATAATTTAAAATGCTTGATGTGAAAACACTATAATGTACACACTTAATATTCTACTTGAGTGGCATTATGAAAAATTTATTTTTTTTCTGTATGTTAATAGTAGCCAACAATTTTCCTGGATACATTTTATAATATAAATACACAAAAAAGAGTTAATTTGTCAGGAATGCCTACCTTAAAAATGAATTGCCGCTCTTTGTATACCAGAAAGTGCTCTGAAATAAATATCTAATCATACAAAATAAATAATTAAATAGAGACTTTAATGGAGAGAGGCAGGGCATTATTCTCTGTCAAGAAAATTATCATGGCAGCCCTGAAAATTTGCCATTCAGTTCTCTGGACTGGGAACATTAGCTGCCCTGCCAGCCTGGCTGCCAGGGCTCAGGATTGGCAGTCTGTGCAGACCCAAGCTGCCCCAGGCTGCTTTCAGGCAATAACTGAATGTGGAGGGAGCAGTAGGGCAGATCCATTCCTGCCTCAATAAGGGCTACTCTAAAAGGATACTTGCCTTGGAGGAACCCCACTGGCCTGGCAAAATTTTCTTAGAAGCTCACTGCACTCTGAGACTCTATTG